GGCTCGATTGTCATTTGCCAACTTGAGACATTTGTGGTGCCGTCGCGACATCCGGCTGTCTGTGAAGGGTCGAGTGTATGCTGCAGCAGTTCGGCCAGTCCTGCTCCACGGTGCAGAGACTTGGCCACTAAAGGAACAGGATAAAAAAGATTGTCGGTTTTCGAACACTGCTGTCTACGTAGCATTGCACGTGTCTGGTGGGGTAACCGGACTAGCAATGCTGAGGTCAGGCGTAGAGTTTTAGGCAGTCGCGGTCGTCCACTAGAGCAATTGATCGACCTCCATAGATTACGCTGGTTGGGACATGTGCTACGCATGTCACCAGATAGGTTGCCACGGCGATGTTTGCCAAGGCTGGTAGCGATTGGAAAAAAACGAATGGCAGTCAAGCTAAGACCTGGCACGAGGGTATGAAAACACTAACCAGGAGACTAGGTCACATAGACCCCGTTAGGCTCCCTGGCTGGGGACCTCGGGATGATGGTCCCCATCTTCCGCTTGAATTTGCTTCGACATTCCAATCTTCATTTCGCTCTTTTATCCAAATGGGCAACCAAAACCGGCGCACGAAAATGCATGGTTAATAGTTGTAAAAACTGAAACTGAAACTGCTGTTTTTTGGATGAGCGAAGTGCAGGAAGAATTGGAATGATGGGAGCGGTGTTATTGATTCACCAGCAGGAAAGCAATATACAAGAGTGTTATCGCTGGGCACAAGGGGAGAACGACTGAGTTAAAAAAAAATCACATGGGTGTGGTAACCAGGATGAGTATGAGAGAAATCAGGTTTACTGATGCAGACGAATCGGCAGAAGGTATACACAATCAAATGGACAGCTAATTCTGAAAGAGTACTCCATTCATGTCTGAATTAGGATGATAAAGTGAACTCATTTTTATCAGACACTTTCGTGTGATGAATAGCAGACGAGGAAAGCCCCATAGTCACAAGGACCTGCAGTTCAGTGATGGAAACCGGTAACCTAATCCCCGGAACTTGGAGTGATGAATCATAAGGCCCCAACAGGTTAAGTGTGGTATTTGACCGGACAACAGCAAAGCTGTCTACCACCAAAGTTGGGTGGAGGGGCTCGAACCTCGGACCATATAGATAAGGTCCAAAGCATGCCTGTGACAGCGACTAAACCACCGCCCACCACCACTGTGAGCAAACGGATAGAAAGAGATACATGAAATCCGTACGTTGGCATAGCATTGATCTTGTCCTCATTTGGTCCTCGATTCATTGTAGATACGTACAGTTTCAGTTCAGTTTGTACAACCATCAATCATGCACTTTCAGTCAAAAGTCTGATCCGCAGGGCAGTGGGACGTGGTTGCTACGAGGGTGCGTGGCCGAAGCACCTATGTGAAAACTTTTGGATACCTATCACGCAAGACCCTCGGGTTTCGGTCCGTTGGTGTGTTAATTGTCGGTCGGATGTTCGGCATTGGCCCTGAGTCTCCCGCAGATAAGTAAAAACATGCACGCTGATTGTAGGAGAATGATTATCGCCATCCGACTTTTTCAAATGCAAACAGAGAAACAGTGCACTATTTGACTAAAGGAGACAAACCAACGAACCTCGGGAAGTACAGCACAAATAATCACAGTTTCAACTAATAAATTCAGGGAGCGTAGACAGTTTAAATGATTGTGAGTAAATCTGTTCTACAAACAAAACAAGAGTATTACCACAGCCTGATCTCCGTTGAACAGCTCAAGCGCGACCGCGCCAACTTCGAAGTTGAATCGACAAGCGATCAGATTGGGGGACATGCCACCGGATTTGCTGGTCTGAGTATTGCGATCTGGTAGGACGGTAGATCCGGTAGCACCAGTTGTATGCGTCACATCACCTCCTTTCGGCCCCGCCTTCTGCGAGATCTCGGAAGACTCAGTTGACAGGGTAGGAATAACAGCCACCGGTGGGGGGATTTCGGCAAAGTTGTCCAAGAGGACTTCCTGAATGACACGATAATCTCCCTGACAAATAGCGATCTGGATAGAAAAGCACAAAGAACGATGAAATATCCGTGAATAATTAATGGATTCTGAACAGAGATCGAAGGGCAATATAGTGTTTTGTAAAGGTTTTTTAATTCGACCAGGATCTCTGTTATTGTTGTAACCAGAAAAACCGCAAGAAGTGGAAAACATGGGGGGAGGAGAGGGGTTACCAAAACAGATTCTATTGACAATTTTGACACCGTTTCGAGCAAGCACTGTGATAAATATGAAAATATTCAACTTGAATATCTTAGTTTTCCAAGTACATAAACTGTGATAGCACGCTAAATAGATGGCCACAGACAGACAACAGTGCAGGGAACTGATTGTTAATAGCCAAAGTCGTTGTTACTTTTCTCGGCACGGATCTGATTAATTCTATTAGACTGATGATAGCCATCGGTTACAATACATAAAAATACAGGATTGATTCGGACTAGCGACAAATCTCATCGACTAAAATCCTCGATTGTCCACAAAATTTCAATTGTCTACGCATGGAACCGGGCCTGGCCGCGAGGAGAGAGAGTTGCTAAGCTAGCTTAGCGCAAAACGGCATGGAACAACCACGGACCAGATTGAAGCATCAGCCAAAAGCAGTCCATTAATGACCAAAAAATCTCTATCTCAGACCGTAAAACAGATTGAAAAAAGTAGCGAACGATCTCGGTTTTGGTGATTCATCTATGGACCGATACGCTATGTATTGCACGATAAACTGCTGTATAGAAATGTGTATGCGTTTATCTGAACGAGTGCGTAAGCCCCATCTGGCTTGGTTGAGTAGTGAAATGACTGAACTCATCACTAGTTCGTTCGTTCCACACCTCATCTTGAGGTAAACCACGTGGCTGACGTGGATGAGATATTGCGCTCCTTCTATTCACTTTGCAGATATCAACCTAAATGGATTAGAGATGAATCTTGGACACGGGGGAGATGATCGGAATCGGTCGACATAGTAACCCACCACCACCCCATATAGGATCACCAGATCGTTCAGCGCTAAAAACGCATTTATTCATGCACCACCATTACCCAAGGTCAAATCTCATAAAACCAGAGAAAACTGCGACTGCTGGGATCCGCAGCATCCGTTCAGGAGGAGCTGTAAGTTCAGTTTGTGTCCCACAGAGGCTAAACATCCGAAGGAACGTGGGCCCACACCTCAGACGGAACGCGTTCATGATGAGATGCAGCTTCTTCGGACGGACACAAATTTAGCTAAAACGGATAATCGAGAAATACTAGCCAGCCCTGTAGAATTTATATTTGCATCAAATACCACCATAAGGTGTCACAGTTACAAAGAGTCAGGCGTGTGAGTGAGGCACGCAAAAAAAGCATGCAAAAAGCAACGAGAATCCGGTTCGAACATTACAGGTCACGTTGGTCACTCACATGAATCGAGGCCAAGCCACCGTCCACCGTCAACAGAGGTAGACCGATATAGCTATCGGGATTCAGATTACGACGAATCTGGATTGAGATATTATTCGGTTGAAGTAAGTGTTTCTCGGCTGTCACAGTGGTCTCCGACAGAACAGAACTTGAAGGGGGAAAGCGATGTGTGTGTGAGAGAGAAAACGCGAGTCATGGATCCGTTCTTCCGTATGGAGAAATACAGCACGAAATGATAGGAAACCACGGCTGTAAATGCCGGACAAAATTGTTCAATAAGAGCAGAACGTAACCGAATTCAAACAAGGTCGCTTCGGAACAAGCAACTTACCGACAGACAAAAATTAATTTGAATAATAATCGACGTTTGATTCGAGTGAGTTTCTCGATAAAATATCCGCTGAGAAAGCGATATGAGTTCAGGAAACAAAAAACACAAACGTTATCATATCTGAGCACGTATGGTGTTCGACAGAGCTAAAAAGTGAAATGTGAAAACTTGTGCAGAGAGAAAGAGAGAATGAGTATAACGAAGTACATTCTTCCATGTAATGGAGTATTTGAGATGAGTGCGGACTGTGGCCTGCAACAAGCTCGCAAAGATCGGTTGCGCTATTTCATGTAAATGGAAAGTGAAAAACGGTCTAAGCAGCTTGCCGGTGACCGAGTGGGTAGCATGCTTGCGTCCTGCTCGTGAGGTCTCGGGTTCGAACCCAGTTGGGTCGATGGATTCGCACTGCTGACGAGACCCAACCAGGTCAAAACAGCTGTCCAGTGCTTCCACGTTTTTCATTTCACGCTTCATTTGCCCTATACACGACGAATTTCACCTTTCAAAGTACATTTTTGTCTTTGTACTGGGAAGACATACAAGGAATGCGATGTGATTACAACTGTACAGTTCGAGTAAAGGATTCGACGTAGTAGTTTAGAGGGAAAGTGGTTTGTGTGTACTCAATTCACCTGTGAAGACCACATGTGGATATACATTGGGATTTTGCTGGTGTGTATGAGTGAAATACCAGGAAACCATTAGTTGAAAATTATGCAGCAAATTTTAATATTTGAAAACAATCACAAGTGGCATCTGAACGACAAATTCAAGAAAGGTACCACATGAACAAGGTTCATTCGGTCTCTCTTCATAATTGCAAGGAACTCTATTTCACAAACAACTGCAGAAGTACAACTTTCTTCCATCCGTTTGAGACAAAACGTATGAGGAAAGTAGAAGCGGTGTACAGATATATGTACACGAACAACGACGCAAGTAAAGTTTGTACTTTGCTCATCGAAACCGGTTCAGGTCAAATTTCTGTGATCATTCGCTGTAATACTGCACACACTTCGTCGCAGGACTATTATTCACTGTACCAGTAAATCCAGGTCACACTTAGAAGGTTGTCTGAAAGGACACGTGGTTAGTACACATGTACAGATTTCATAACAACACGGCTTAGGGGAAAGGGAATACTAGGACTCCCATAAGGAGCACATTTTCCCTCCATGCAAATCATGGAACGTTTTTCTTTTTATAAAGATTATTGGACCACGATTTGTTTGGCACGCAGCCTGGCATCAGACGTGTGTGAAATATATATACTAGGCGATAGTAAACAATAGAATAAAAGTGCCGGAAGCAGTAGTGAACCCTTCGTTTTTGTTTTGTTCCTTGTAATCACTTTCTACACACTTAAATAAGATGTATTGTAACCTTATTTTCTGATGGATCTCAAATTTTATCAGTATTTTTTTAGTTTGTGTAATGAATCGATCAGATGGAAGATCGAAAGACAACAAACGAAAAATTCTCTGCCCAGACTGAAACTGGAAGCCAGAGACCGACATTTCCCGTGTAAGCGATGAAATGTCAATCGAAATTAACCTAAATAAATTGGTCTACGTTTTTCCCATTAGTGTAAGCCAGAGAATTAGGAATTTCAGACGAGATTGATCCATAATATCCAGTATATGTGTGAAACACATGAGTCACAAAATAATACCTATACTCTCAATAAATAGCTGTGAACTTCATATTGAAAAGAAAGTATTAAAATTCCGGCGAAAATATCACAAGAGGATGTATTCTATTGACAAAACTGTGCGGACTAGAACATTGATGACTACGACGGACGCTCTCTGATGAAAAGGTGATCGACTTTAGGGGATTTTTTGGTAAAAAAATGCATCTTGTAGAATTTTCTCTACACGTTCTCTACTGCTTTCACAACACAACCGGTGTTTATTCAATAGAATAGCACAGACCGTGTTCAGTCAGTCAAAAATCAAGAAACACAGGACCTTGATTGAGCCTGATCTATTGTTTATTGTGATGGAAAAGTCTGCAATTCGGACAAATTGTCTATAAACACACACACACACACACACACCTGTGACAAAAACAATAAGGAACTCATCGACAATACTTACCGTGATAGTCGCAAATTGTCCAACTGAATTTCCGTATATTCCAGAATGACACCGGGGGTAGGGATTGGCTTGGTAGCATCCGATGGTTGATTCGCTGCAGTGATCAGTTCAAATCGATTGTTGAACGTCACACAACCGAAATCGACCATCAAAGCTTTCGTTGAAAACGAGTGTTGAGGCATGTAGACAACGGGAGCCTGAGCGATAATATTCAGGCCCATACGGAATTTGGGCGGTTGATTAACTGCCTGCTGAACCTACGTGTTTGTGGAACAGGATGAGAATGCGGGATAGGCAACAGAGCAATGGAATACTAGAATATGAAGACCGAGAGTATGCAGAATATTCCAGAAGCGTAGTCGCTGTAGGTCAATATCCACATTCTATGTACGTGCAAAATGTGAAACAATAGCTTACAATAGGATAGGTAAAAACGAATATCAACAAGAAAAATGTCAAAAACTATGGGGGGGAGGTGGCAGTGGGAAGAAAGGAAAGGGTAGGACCCTAACACACACGGTGGAGCAGACAGACAGGAGCACTCACACTTATCAGTCTATAACGTCTTTGTCATTTCGTGCGGTTTGGGTTACTGACTGGCTCATATAGGTCCAGTTAGGCTCACTGGTTGGGGACCCCGAGATCATGGTCATGAGACACTGAGCGATGTGAATAGGGGTCGCAAACAGTGGCGCTCATGCATCTACTCATTATTCTTGTAACTTCAGTCTATGAAAATGTGCTACCTTCCGCTTAAATCTGCTCTCAACAATCTAATCATCATTCTGCTATTTCATCCAAATGGGCAACCAAAACCGGCTCACGAAAGTGCATGGTTAATTGTTGTAAGAACTGAACTGAACTGAACTGTCTGTTGACATCCCATTTGGATGAAGAAGTGTATGGAAGAACTGGAAACTTAGGGGCGCGACCACAGTGAAGATAGACATGCATGCGGACTAAAGATTCGAGATGAATCTTCACAAAGCACCGGATAAACGCCGCTACGGGCGAGGGCAGGTGTATGAGTAAAGGGATTTCGCTGAGCCATTCATTGAGCAAAACTTATCCACGGTCATACGAAATTCAACAACGTAAGCTCCGTGATTTGAAATGACGTAACCACAACAACAGCAACCACACAGGATGAGTATGGGTAGAACGACAGCGAGTTTGTCTACCTTCGAAATACACTGGGAAAAATGAACAGCAGAAGCGGCAATCGAGAACCTCGTTAGTTAGTTAGTAACAATATGCTTACTTGTTGCACTGCAGCCTCGGACAATTCTTGAACCTTATTCAGCATGGCCTGGGTCGCCATTTGGAAAGCATTCATAAAGTTCTGAATCGGACCGGGGTTGGGAAGATACAAATGCGGCATAGAATGAAACCAGCTCGGGAGTTAATGGAAGAAGAGTAAGCCTAGAATGATAGGAACATATTCCGGGGAGACTACAATGCTGTCGTAGAACCGGGCGAATTCAAAGCCTATCTCAGAAACAACTACTAAACAGTACTGAGTAGCTTCGGAAAGCAAGATTTATCATATTTGCAGAACGACAGAATAACTTGTGCGGTATTAATGATTCAGCCTACTTACTAACAGTGTTTGGCCGTCCAGAGAATAAGAATGGTATCTCTGAATACAACGAGACCTATCACAACAATTATATTCTCCATTCCATTTATTTCGAATCAAGATCAGGCAAATCAAACAAGAATGGATAGAAATTCTAATCGTCCATTGGGTTGTAGACAGCCATATGCGGCACGGTCATGGACGACCGAGATTTCTATGGTATTTGATGACCGGGCGAACACTTACCACAACACGCATCACGAAATGATACAGAAAGATCAGATGCACTTTGCCAAGCTGTAAGCTGACCGCCATATCCACTTTGTCCGGATCGTATTGATGTTCAGGCAAATCGGTGCCCTGAACAAAATGTGTCAGTTGGAGCGCAACAATACTCTCAGCCGGGTCAACCCATAGAATCTGTGAGTGCGAGACGGGGAGAGCAGTTATTGATAGACAAAGATAATGGCAGATCAGAGAGAGCGAGATAAATTATTTAGCTGTAAATATTCGTGAGATGATACGGAGCCCACTCTTGTCGAACTAACGTGTTCACGCAGGTGCCTCTCAACCGACCAAAGTGTAGTTAAATGCAAAAGCTTTGTTCAATAAAAAACCAATAAAACTTAACAATGCGGAATATGGCTACTGTCTGGAATCCAATCATTGATACCCAACCGTTTGCGTATCATATGTAGTTCTTCACAGTTACACACAACCGGATGATGAACAGTGGACAGAGTAAACCCAAAAAGGTGAGAACCAGGGATTTGGAAAGACTAATCACTCAAGGTCGCATTAGCATTGGTGTTTCATGGAACCAAAGTACAGCGAAACTACCTGCCACC